CCTGTAAAATTCAATAAACGCCTTTGTGAGCATTGAAAAAACTACAAATTTATGCGTGTAACACATAAAACAATTCAATAACATTTCTGGTGCTTGAGTCAGTTGTAATGTTTGTGAACGGAAAAAAAACGGTAGAAGGAAAAATTCCGACGATTCCTCGATATTTATTGTTCCATAGACGTCAATGTAATTATGTAATTCTTCTGCAATGATAACTGTTTTGAATGGTACTCCATGTCTGTGAACATCCCCTTCCTTAACTTCGTAAAAATGACTTCGCAACATCGATTTACAATACTCGTCAACATTTTGAAATTCATCAATTAAGAAGTTTTACGCACCTGGTCCTCTGTTTCTACAGTGGTGTAGGCGGATTAGGATTGTCATCTCTTTGACCCCTATCATCACGGATGAGTCATAGAAGGACGAAACACCTGTATAATTCAGTTCAATTCACATTTGGTGTACTGTATATATTTCTTATCTTAAAGGTGCGATAATATGTGTATGCTTGTCCCTGCTAAATTCGTCTTTCTTAATTTTATTGCAAGAAATGTAAAATTTTCAGAGAAATGAAAGTCATTTATAGGTCGTCAAATATTGTGCATTGATCTATATATAGGTGTTCTCATCAAATTACCGGACCACCATTTTTTTTAAAGAAGTAGCTTGGGGCCATTAGGCACAAAATAACTATTTTAGGAATGTAGAAGCTTGGTAACTTTTTAAATCAACCCACGAACAAACCCCAAAAATCTTGGTTATTCCGTGTATTTTAATTCATAAGACAAACATGTATTTCATACGTGCTCATTTAATTAACAGTTGTTCCTTTTGGACAAAGAAATCAAGGTTGCCATTTAATAGCAAAGACTCCACAAATGAAAAAGCAGCATTCAAAATAATGTACAACTCGGTGATTTTTTAATTTTCAAATACTACATCAACATCCTGGATTGATTTACATTGTTTACACATGTGCATTGCCAGCTTTCAAACACTGATATTTTCAGTTTAAGAAGTGACAATGATCACTTCTCAAGGATATATGTCTCACTGCATTGCGGATTCTCATCTATGCAGTAACTGTAATTTATTTTCGTTTTACACACAACTAAGGCCAGTACACTTCTGTTATGATTTTCCTAAATAAAGTATATTGTACTTTTCATTCAGAAATAATTCATCATTATATCTATAGTCATGCCGGTAAAATAAGTTTCGAATGCAATATTTTCATGTTTTGGCAGTGCTACAGGGATTGAAAGGTAAAACTACGTTTAGTGGAAATTTGTGCATTATCTACACAGAGCGTGTCTTGGCGAAGGAAAGAAACTCTTTTTTTGGGGGATTTTTATTAAAAGCTTAGTAATAAACTACACTTCCACAAGCTTTTGTATTAAAATATCCGTTTGAATATCTTTCAATCCAGTATAAGGAAATGACGATGATAATATATTTGTTAATCTCCCTGATCAAACGAACCTTTCTACTTGAAGGTATTGTATTACAGACACAAAAACAATATACACATCATTGCAGTTCAAATCAATTTCAGCAAGTTTTGTTTTTTGTAAATCGACACACGTTTCCGGATTAGACTGTGTGTGACTGGTTCCACGATTACCGGACCACCATATACAAAATCCCTGTCCCTTTGCATATGAAACACTATCATATAAAACACTATCATATACAACACTAACATATATAAAACACTATCATTTGAAACACTATCATATAGAACACTAACATACAAAACACTATAATATAAAAAAACTAACATATAAAACTCTAACATATAAAACACTATCATATTAAACACTATCATATAAAACACTAACATATAAAACACTATCATAAAAACCACTGATATAAAACACAATCATATAAAAACACTATAATATAAAACACTATCATATAAAAACACTATGATATAAAACACTATCATATAAAACACTATAATATAAAACACAATCATATAAAACACTATCATATAAAACACTAACATATAAAACACTATCATAAAAACCACTATGATATAAAACACAATCATATAAAAACACTATAATATAAAACACTATCATATAAAAACACTATGATATAAAACACTAACATATAAAACACTATAATATAAAACACAATCATATAAAACACTATCATATAAAACACTAACATATAAAACACTATCATAAAAACCACTATGATATAAAACACAATCATATAAAAACACTATAATATAAAACACTATCATATAAAAACACTATGATATAAAACACTATCATATAAAACACTATAATATAAAACACAATCATATAAAACACTATCATATAAAACACTATCATATAAAACACTATCATATAAAACACTATCATATAAAACACTATCATATAAAACACTATAATATAAAACACAATCATATAAAACACTATCATATAAAACACTATCATATAAAACACTATCATATAAAACACTATCATATAAAACACTATCATATAAAACACTATCATATAAAACACTATCATATAAAACACTATCATATAAAACACTATCATATAAAACACTATCATATAAAACACTATCATATAAAACACTATCATATAAAACACTATCATATAAAACACTATCATATAAAACACAATCATATAAAACACTATCATATAAAACACTATAATATAAAACACAATCATATAAAACACTATCATATAAAACACTATTATATAAAACACTATCATATAAAACACTATCATATAAAACACTATAATATAAAACACAATCATATAAAACACTATCATATAAAACACTATTATATAAAACACTATCATATAAAACACTATTATATAAAACACTATCATATAAAACACAATCATATAAAACACTATCATATAAAACACTATAATATAAAACACAATCATATAAAACACTATAATATAAAACACTATTATATAAAACACTATTATATAAAACACTATTATATAAAACACTATCATATAAAACACTATCATATAAAACACTATAATATAAAACACAATCATATAAAACACTATCATATAAAACACTATAATATAAAACACAATCATATAAAACACTATCATATAAAACACTATTATATAAAACACAATCATATAAAACACTATAATATAAAACACTATTATATAAAACACTATTATATAAAACACTATTATATAAAACACTATCATATAAAACACTATCATATAAAACACTATAATATAAAACACAATCATATAAAACACTATCATATAAAACACTATAATATAAAACACAATCATATAAAACACTATCATATAAAACACTATTATATAAAACACAATCATATAAAACACTATCATATAAAACACTATAATATAAAACACAATCATATAAAACACTAACATATAAAACACTATCATAAAAACCACTATGATATAAAACACTATCATATAAAACACTATAATATAAAACACAATCATATAAAACACTAACATATAAAACACTATCATAAAAACCACTATGATATAAAACACAATCATATAAAAACACTATAATATAAAACACTATCATATAAAACCACTATGATATAAAACACAATCATATAAAAACACTATAATATAAAACACTATCATATAAAACACTTTCATATAAAACACAATCATATAAAAACACTATCATATAAAACACTATCATATAAAACACAATCATATAAAACACTATGATATAAAACACTATCATATAAAACACTAACATATAAAACACTATCATATAAAACACTATAATATAAAACACAATCATATAAAACACTATCATATAAAAACACTATGATATAAAACACAATCATATAAAACACTATTATATAAAACACTATAATATAAAACACTATCATATTAAACACTATCATATAAAACACTATCATATATAATACACTATCAAATGAAACACTGTCATATGACATACTATCATATAAAACAATATAATGTAAAACTCTATCATATAAAACACTAGATCAGACATTCTTCAAAGGTCTTTTATATATACCTACAGTTTGTTTTGTTTGTTCCTCGCGTCAGTTAATATAAGGTGATATATAGACATTATCCACTGATAATCAAATTTCCCTCTTAGCAAAGGACACAGAACAAGCTACTTTCTATACGGGGATACCACAACAGCTATATATTTTTAATGGAACAATTTCTGTTATAATAACAGGTTATTTATTGGCAAAATAAAACCGTTTTTTTTCAGTCATACATTTTTTAACCCAACAGACACAGATCTCTTATCATCAGCAAAATACAAAACAATTATGAGTTGAGGGATTTTTGTTCACTAGCACAATTAAACGTTAGTTGCATCTTGTAGACCATAATTCGAATACAGTAAATGTATGATGAAATACTCTCTTCACATCACCTTAGATGTTGTTTGGACGTTAAACCACAAAGAAATAATACAAAGCTATCTCATGTTTCTATCAACACAGTGCGCTTTAAAAAACAAATCTTAATGACGTTTTCCTTTGTCACATATCTCTGACTACATGTAAAAATGCAATATGTTAACAAGGATTCCACGAATGGTTTTTTTTTCTTTTTCTAAATAGCATGTTTTTTTATATACAGTAGTTTCCTTTTGATAGGTTTCTGACTTTGATAAACAACCGTTTTCTAACACAAACTCGTGGGTATAAAAATATCTAATACAAGTTTTATGCAAGTTTCGTCTATTGCCTGTAACCTATTATATAAGAATATAAGTCTAAATTCTGAGTTATATCACAAACTCTGTATGTAGGACATGCTAATAAACATACTTCGATATTACACAGTTTGAACATAACTTTTTAATAATGGTTATATATATATATATATATATATATATATATATATACCAAATCATACAATAAAGTACCATGTTTTATGACGAGCTCTGCATATAGCACACGTCAACAGATCTACTACCCAATTTAATACCATGTTTTACGACAGTTTCTTTTATTACAGGTTCCTGACCATATTGGAGCATAAAACAAAATACCAACGTTCAAGGAGGATCTGAGGACGTAAAACAATTTAATAACATTTTTTTACGCGAATGACTGTTTGCCGTACATGGTAAACGTGACAATACCTCGGCCATATCAGGGCGCCTGTGGACGCGATGCTCCGCTCTGTAAACCATTAATGACTTGCGTGTGTCTAAAATATTTATGCCCTAACTCCCCCTGTGATGGACCGTTGAGGAGGATTCAGGCATGAAGGTTGACATTAAGCCTTCCCCTCTCCGATGGTTTCTCTTCGCTATCAACATCATCTTTTTCGTGAGTCCATGAATCTTTCACTTATCGCATGTATGTCTCAGCAATAGACCATCGACCGTAGATAGATAGATATATTTGTAGTGGGGTTTCGTATTTGCATGCAACCATCATTGTCTAGAACGATAGTTGTGAATGGATAGATTGTAAGCTTAGGGCGCATTATCGAACAATTTGAATTTGAATTAACGATTCTTGTCATTTAAATTATTAAGGGCTATGATGTATAAAATAATCAATATTGGAAAAGAGAATAATAGTTACCATTTTTTTTATGTACAAAATCTAATTTGAAAAAGTGTCTATTATGATTTTTATCACGGGTTTTGCGGCCGATAAAACTGGTGTTTGGCGCAGATAATATTAACACAGAATTTAAACTGTTTATGATTTAAATTTGGACCACCATTACACATGTCTCAGATAAGATTATTGAAATTAACTTTAAATATGTGTAGTACGCTTGTTTTAGCTTACGTAGTTTGCATGTATGTTGTGTATGAATAGTATTCGCATGTTGATTAATACTTTCTGTTTACATGGTATTCGTCAAACCTTGTCCTTCGAGTTATTGGCAATATTGTACAGGACAAACAGTGAAAGTATAACGAGGTTTCAAGGTAGCGTATCGAGTTTTGATGTGCAAAACTTATCATTCTTGGGAATACAATTTTGTAATGGGTTATAAGGTTTAACGTGTTGTATCGTAAAACAATAGGGAGGCGTTATAGTAGAACCTAATTAACCGATAAATAAGAACCTAAACATTAGCAACGATTAAACATTGCTGACGCCAAAGAGTAAAATCTGAACATCGTTATTTTAGTCAGTTTTTGACCGGTTTATGATAAACCTTAACGTTATATAGTGTTACCATGGTAACATGTTATAGTTAAACTCTGTAAACACCTAGTAGTATTAGTAACATGGTAAGCATTGGTAACGGTATATATATACATAATGTACTATAACCTTGGTAAAGGTACATACATTATGTACTAAAAACCTTGGTAACGGTCTCAAGTGTTACCTTGGACATGGTTTGTAGCAAAGCCTTGTAAACGTTATTTAGACAAAATTTGGTAATATAACACTATACAGTTTATCAAACTAAATCGCTATTCTATAAAGTCAAACAGTCGTATTGCTATATAGTCAAACCTTTGTAATGCTATATAGTTAAACCTTTGTAATACTATATAGTAAAACATTTGTAATGCTATATAGTAAAACCTACGTTATGCTATAAAGTAAAACATTTGTAATGCTGCTATAAAGTAAAACATTTGTAATGCTATATATAGTAAAACTTTTGTAATACTATATAGTAAAACCTACGTTATGCTATAAAGTAAAACCTTTGTAATGTTATATATAGTAAAACCTTTGTACTGCTATATAGTTAAACCTTTGTAATACTATATAGTAAAACATTTGTATTGCTATATAGTAAAACCTACGTTATGCTATAAAGTAAAACATTTGTAATGCTGCTATAAAGTAAAACATTTGTAATGCTATATATAGTAAAACCTTTGTAATACTATATAGTAAAACCTACGTTATGCTATAAAGTAAAACATTTGTAATGCTATATAGTAAAACATCTGTAATGCTATATATCGTAAAACCTTTGATATGCTATACATAGTAAAACCTTTGTACTGCTATATAGTCAAACATTTGTAATGCTATATAATAAAACCTTTGTAATGCTATATAGTAAAACCTTTGTAATGCTATATAGTGAAACCTTTGTAATGGTAAATAGTAAAACCTTTGTACTGCTATATAGTGAAACGTTTGTAATGCTATATAGTGAAACCTTTGTACTGCTATATAGTAAAACCTTTGTAATGCTATATAGTAAAACCTACGTTATACTATATAGTGAAACCTTTGTAATGCTATATAGTAAAACCTGTGTAATGCTATATAGTGAAACCTTTGTAATGCTATATAGTAAAAACTTTGTAATGCTATATAATAAAACCTACGTTATGCTATAAAGTAAAACCTTTGTAATGCTAAATAGTTGAACCTTTGTAATGCTTTATAGTAAAACCTTTGTAATGCTATATAGTAAAACCTTCGTAATTATATATAGTAACACATTTGTAATGTTATATAGTAAACCCTTTGTAATGCTATATAGTAAAAGATTTGTAATGTTATATTGTAAAACGTTTGTAATGCTTTATAGCACAACCCGTGTAATGCTATATAGTTAAACCTGTGTAACGCTTTATAATAAAACATTCCTAATGCCCTATAATACAAGTTTAATTGAGATCCAATTTCGTTTAAGCATATTTAAGATGTGAACATGAGTTTGTTTGTAAGTTTCCGCGGTTTTAAGACGTGATGTAACTTGAATTTCACCTAAATAAACATGGCGGCTGACGACTATTAATAAGAAGGCGCTTTTCCTCTAGAACACCCTGGTCTTATCCATTTAGTATGTTTGGAAGGGTCTTTTTGTAAATGTTCATATCTGGTCCTGGTGTTACCGATTTTGAGTAATAATTGCTCTTCTGTTTTCAACTTCGGTATTATATTCGTGTTTTAATTTTACAAAATTGTAATGATAAGAAAGACAGGTAGTTTTATATGATTCGTTAAATGAGGTTGAACGTGAATTTAAACGGACTCAACAACCTTAATATATCTGTTTGTATTCAACCGTGAAAGGCTGATAATTCACATTTCACCATAATATTATTTTCTCATTTTTCCTCTCGTGACTATGGGAAATATATCGTCAAAGGGTAATATATATAGGGAGTTCTATCTAACTTGTTCGACAGCCCATTTGTTCTATTTTGAACCGTGTGTCATTTATTTATTATACGTCAAATATGTATATGTGTAGCACTACCGCAATGTTTTCCACTGGCGTGCTCCCTTTTCGTGATATTACGTCATAAACCATCAAAAGCTGTTAGAACAGGTCAAAAGTTCAAGTGCTGAGCTCTCTTTTCTAGCTAAGACTATGATTGTTTTGCACGTACAACACAGACAGTGTTTATCACTTGCTTCTTCCTAGAAAATCAAACTTTGGGGAATATAAAATTGTTATAGCATCTTGATATGTTAAATGACCTCTCTGATAACACACGATAGGAGGTTCTACAAGATCTGCTATTGAATTACCCTATCGCACGCCAAACGCTAATTATTTCTCGTTGATTTACATCTTCCTTTATAGAAATACTATAACCATAGGGTTTCGGTTTTTGCTGCTTGTTATTCTAACACATGATATGTTTTTAAACAATACTATACAAATACGGAGCGCGGAACACACAAATGCAATTCACAGATTCGTATTCACACAGCTAACTCCCGAACGACCTCTTTTTGATAATATTTGTTAACTCATTCACCCCTGAAACTTCAAAATGAACTATTCCAACCATTGATTCGGAAGAGTTCAAATGTGTCTTCAGGGGTGAATGAGGTAACGCTCATTTAATAGTTATCCAGACACATCTCACTTTTTTCTTTTATTAAATTATATACAATTATTGAACGTGGAACAGACAGAAACGATCAACAGATCCGAGGTCACCTAGCTAGAGATCCCAATGACATCACACGTAGAAAAAGATAACGTTGACTATTGTTTTCACATATTTGTAATTATCATTATTATTCTCATACCTTCCCATTGATCATTGAGCATTTACCGAAAAGCGACGTGTTTTTATCTTAATTTTCAATCCTCCATCTTCACTTAATATGTTCCCCTGGTAAAGATGCGCTACCCTTATTGTCGGTTTACAGTAGTATCAATTCAACATTTCTCGACTGCTGTCCGAAAAGTTTGCGGATCTCAAGTTCACAAAACGTTTGCCCTGAGAAAAAAGAAAGATATTTTACCCCAACGACACAATTCAAAATAATTTGGGTGATATATAACAAAATAATTTCTATTCTTTAAACCCTTAGGCATGTATACAGAATCGTGATTTATCTTGATCATCTTATTATATTTTTTAAGGAGTCAAGGTCAATTTATTTTTATGAAGGTTATTTCAAATAAATTATTTTTAGAATTGTAATATCATATTTCCCTTGAAGCTGTACATACTAATTAAGTGAGTTTTGACTTCGCCATATTTCAATTTTATGACTCATATCAAAATATGCTGCGTACGCTCTCAATGTATTACTATAACCCATGCCATTTCATTTTGTTTGGTATTTTTTCTAACATGTTAATGACATTTTAAATGTTTTTTAAAAAATATTTTATTTTACTCGTCGAGTCAAAGAAGCAAATTAAAACAACTCTAATTAAATTAAACACTTAAAATTAATTTTCAATATCTGGGTAGAAAACCTGATAGCAAGCCTTAAACAACAAGAATACAGAAAGAAAGAAGCTTCTTGGGAACACTTAAATAGTCTAAAATAGCGAAATCTTCCAACAGTCAATTTTAATAACAAATTCGGAGGAAATTAATTTCTTGTGATTTTTTCAATCTTCATTGTTGTTATAAAATGATTCATATTTCGTTCATAATATCAGAAATCTTTCCAGTCTTCTCTGCTATTAAAAAGTGATTCATATTTCGTTCAGAATATCAAAAAGCAAGAAACCAATGTATGCGGGAAAGACTATGAAAACTAATAACTAAGATTCGAAGTACGGTAGCACTTTACCAAGATTTAAAGAAGCCAGACAAACTAGTATTTACTTCATAATTTGGATAGTTTGTCGACTCATCAGTGACAATATTGGTCAAAAGAATGACAGTCTATTTTTCTTGTACCCGAAATATAAATATGAGAGGAATGCTATCACTAAAAGCAAATGGAGAAATATTACATTGATGCATCTCCTACAAAACACTAAAGTTGACCAATTTAAACTAGGGAATAATTAAAAACAACAGAAGCAACGACGAAACCATAATGAACATGTGAACAGTATAAAAACATCATGAAATATGTGAACAGTATAAAAACATCATGAAACATGTGAACAGTATAAAAAA